TCTCAATCTGTTGCCCAGGCCGGAGTGAGTGCAGTGGCACAATCATGGCTTGCTGCTGCAGCTTTGACCTCCCAGGCTGAAGCCATCCTCCCGCCTTAGCATTTAAGTAGCCAGAACTACAGGCATATGCCACCATGCCCAGCTAATTTTGTTTATTTTTTGTAGAGACAAGGTCTCACTATATTGCCCAAGCGGGTCTTGAACTCCTGGGATCAAGCAGTCCTCCTGCCTCAGCCTCCCAAAGTGCTGGGATTGCAGGCATGAGCCACTACACCTGGCCTATATTTATATTTCTAATCCCAAACTATGATCAAAGATGAAGTGTGATGTTAGTTTATGTTCTTGTTGATGATAAGAGGATAAAATACATTTTTTGTTTTATTTTGAATTTTTGTCAAAATATAATTAACATAAAATTTACTATTTTAAGGTAAGCATGCGTTGGTTTTTGATATATTCACAGTGTTGTACAGCTAACACCAGTATCTAATTCCAGCGTATTTCTATCACCACAAAAAGAAACTTTACACCTGTTAGTCACTCCTAATCTTCCTCTCCCCTCTGCAGTCTCTGGTAACACCTAATTTACTTTCTGCATTTGTGGATTTGCCTATTCTGGACATTTCATAAAAATAAAATGTATTTTTTTAAATTTGTTTAGACATTACCAGAAACATCTTTATCAAATTATGCCACAAATTTGAAAGACAAGAGTTCTTTAGTTTCGTCTCTCTATAAAGTTATCCAGGAGCCACAAAGTGAGGTAAGTACTTTTGACTTGATTGATTTTTAATTTTTTATTGTGAAATATATATAAAGGAGTAAGAAAATGTATATGATGTTTAAAGAACAATAATGAAATGAACTCTAGTGTACGATTCCCCAAGCCAAGAAATATAATTTATTACCATATTCCAAAAGCCATCTCTGAGCATTTTCTCTCTTTTTCTCTCTTGCTGGAGGTAGCTTTGAAAAGTCTGGGTTGCTACATTTTATTTTATTCATTCAGTAAGTATCTGAGTGCTCATTATGAGCCATCAGCTCTGCTAGGCAATAGAGAATCAAATTGAGTAATGCCTGGTCCTTATCCAGAAAGAGGAAAGTGGGAGAGAATAAGCAAACACATGGTTTCAAGGCAATCCTTAATTAAGTCTGCACATAAGCACAAGTTTTCCAGGTGGCAAGGTAAAAGAATATTTCACGCAGTGGGGATAGTATATGGGGGCCTCAGAAAATGCAAGACGTTTAAGGAATGGCAAATAGTTTAGTCTGGCTAGTACCTTTCCCAGTCTTTTCTCTTGCCCACAGTGTTTTCTTTCTTCAGATGGCTAAAATATATATATTTTATAACTTATATACCTATATGTGTAATATATGTACATATATATGTGTGTGTGTATATATATGTGTGTATATATATATATACACACACACACACATATGTATATATATATTTATTTATTTATTTATTTTTTGAGACGGAGTTTCGCTCTTGTTGCCCAGGCTGGAGTGCAATGGCGCGATTTCGGCTCACCGCAACCTCCGTCTCCTGGGTTCAGGCAATTCTCCTGCCTCAGCCTCCTGAGTAGCTGGGATTACAGGCATGCGCCACCATGCCTAGCTAATTTTTTGTATTTTTAGTAGAGATGGGGTTTCACCATGTTGACCAGGGTGGTCTCGATCTCTTGACCTCGTGATCCACCCGCCTCGGCCTCCCAAAGTGCTGGGATTACAGGCGTGAGCCACTGCGCCTGGCCCTATATTTATTTTTTTTAAGACAGGGTCTCACTTTGTTGCCCAGGCTGGAGCGCAGTGGTGTGATCATGGCTTACTGCAGTCTTGACCTCCTGAGTTCAAGCGATCCCCCCACTGCAGTCCCCCCAGTAGCTGGGACTTCAGTCATGCGCCATCACACCTGGCTATTTTTTGTATTTTTGGTAAAGACTATGGGATTTTGCCATGTTGCCCAGACTGTTCTCAAACTCCTGGGCTCAAGCAATCCACCCATCTCAGCTTCCCAAAGTATTAGGATTACAGGCATGAGGCACTGTGCCCCACTGCCCATTTAGTTTGAAGATAGTAAAATAATCTATACTCCAGATTCTGGTGCTTATAAATCCTACCATTAATAGTATTTCTGGTAGGATTTACAAGCACTAGAATCTAGAGTATAGATTATTTACTGTAAAATAAATAAACTATAAATACTAAAAATACCATAAATACTGTGATACTAAATACAAAAATACTAAATACTAAATACTAAAATACTATGCTATAATACTAAATACTAAAATACTATAATACTAAAAATACTATCAAATAAATAATCTATAAATAATATTTCTACTATTAATAGAAATACTGTAAATGGTAGGATTTACAAGCACCAGAATCTGGAGTATAGATTGTTTTATAGTATAGATTATTTAACAGAAGAAATACTATTTTATTTTTCATCATATTTCCAATTTTGTTTTGGAAATACTAAAACAAAATTGGAAATACGATGAAAAATAAAAAGGTATGGCATTTGGAAAAAAGTGAATAGGCTAATGCAGTAGTTAACAGAAGAGAGTAAGGCTGTGATAGGTGCTGAAGCTAGAAGGCTAGGTTTAGGGCGTAACCATGGTGGGCCTCAAATCCCACCTTAAGTAGCTTAAACTGTTTTTGTATTGAGGGATTAGGAAGGTGGCTACAAGGAGGTTAGATTGACAAATGAAAAAATGGAATGCAAGAAGACTAGGAAGCTATGACAATAGCCTAGGAGGGAGCTGTTGAGAACCTGAACATGTGCAGTGTCAGGGGGAATGGAAAGAGATATGAAAGAAGAGAGGGATCTGAAGTGCATAATTCCTTTTGTACTTGAGTTTGATGGATGGCGTGATAGACTCTAACAGCACATTTAGTGGTAAAGTAACATACCCTGGAGTCCAGTCCAACATGGATCTGTGTATCTCTGGGATGAAACTACCAAAATGAGGGAGAATCTTCTTCTATTTGAGTAGTTAAACCACTTTTGGCAAGGGTGTAGAATAGCCCACTCCTACTGGTTATGCTATAGTGTATATCATGAATTTTAGGTGATGAAGGGATTAGGGAGTATATTGACAAGCCAACAAACTTTAACTGGAATAACTGAATTGAACAATCATACTTGTCTTATCTCTCCCCTCTCCCCAAAGCTTCTTAATTTGTATGAAATGCACAGGAAGGCTGTTTTCTTGAACAGTTTTACTTTTTAAATATTTGGGTAAAAGCTGTTTTCCTTGTTTAGTTTAGAATTATTTCACCAAATAGGATAAGTATAGCCATGTGCTTTATGTTTTTTAACAAATTAGATCTTGTTGGTCATTTATTATTTATTATTTTGAGAGGATTAAAAATTATTTCTCTGATGAAGTATGTTTTAATTAGGCTACTTTGGAAAGTGTTTGTAGGATAAATTTTTGACTGGCTAGATTAGTTTATAGCAATTCTTTTATTCAGATAGCTCTAGTGAATATAGCTCTAATGGTTCAGTACAATATTTCTCAAATTACTAGTGATGATGGACCAGTTTTTGAAAAAAATTATCATCTGTCACAGACAAATATGTGTATCTAAAGTGCATGACTAACATGCAACTCACACCACGTGTGAGGCACCATACAAATTTGATATTTCCTAACTGATATATACTTTGATAAATCTATCTGCTGATCACTTACTTGGATGTTGCAACAATATTAAGTGCTAGAAATTTTTTTTTTTTTTTTGTAAAGATGGGGTTTCACCATGTTGGTCAGGCTGGTCTTGAACTCCTGACCTCAGGTGATCCGCCCGCCTTAGCCTCCAAAGTGCTTGGATTACAGGTGTGAGCCACCACACCTGGCCAAAAATTTTTTTTAAATATATATTTTATTGCACTTTAAGTGCTATAAAATTTTCTAAATGTTTCCTCTCAATTTCTATATTTATATTGTTGAAGACTGGTAACAGTTTGTGAATTATCCTCAGACCACACTTTCAGAAGCACTGGTTTGGTCTTGCATGTTAGTTTGTTTCATGCTTTTATTCTGATTCATGTGGAGAAGACAGTGTGTATTCTGCATTCTTAAAAAAAACCACTCACTCTTTCAAATATATTTGGAAGGGCTTCTAAAATATGACAGTGTAATCTATTTTAACATTGTAACCAGCTTTTTGCTGTTTAGAATATTTTGTGTCTTAATGTGAAAATATTCGTAACAAGTTGATATTATTGTTTTCCAGAAATTTGAGACATTGTTTTTGGTATTATTTGAAGTTCAGCAAATTTGGCATTTAAACTTTACTAGTAATACTTTTCATTATTCAGTTTTATTCATTTAATAAATATTTATTAAACACATATAATGTGTTAGGAACCACTTAGGAATTATGAGAACAAAATAGACTAAATTCTTGATGTTGTAGATTAAAAGTTGTTTTCTAGTTGGTGAGATAGACATTAAACAAATATCTAAACATATACTATGTCAGTGATAAAGCTATAAGGACAAATAAAACGAAGTAAGGGAAATATGTGTTGGGACTGAGGAAATTGGTGATTGAATCAAGATCCAAATGAATTAGGAGTTGAGGTGGAATCAGGGGCAAGAGCCTTCTAGGAGAGGGAACTGTAGGTGGAAAGGCCCTGTGATAGATATATGTGATATGTTCAAGAAACTTATAAAGAGGCAGTTTATATGGGTACAGTACAGTTGGCTTAAATGGTGCTTTTAGTTGACTATAGCTTTGAAGCAGGCACAAGAGTAGAGGTTAATACTGCTTAAGTGTGTTATAAAATCAGCTGTTTTTTGAAAGACCCACATAAAGTCTCCTTGGAGTTCTAGGAGTCGGGAGTCCAAAGAGGGGAGAGATCAGGTACCAGGAGCTGCTGGTTCCCGAATAGTAGTGTTTTCCAGCTTTTCCGTATCCTTTTCCTACCGATGTTCCTCAGTAATTGTTCAATACAAAAAATCTTGTAAGATTTTCCTTCTCGGTTTACCCAAACTTGACTCTTTTCCTGCTTAGTCATTAAAGAACGTTTTCCATACTTAGTCACTAAAGAGCATTTTTGAGTCATATGCCTATTACCACTAGAAATCTCTCTTAGGTTACAGACTTCTTACTTATGAATGGATTGTTGTAAAAATCCATTTGCAGCTAAGTTGTTTAGGACTCAGAATATATTTTGCAATGGAGAGATGACACATGATGACTAGGTTCTCATTAAACCTATAAAAGTCCATTTAACACATGGAAATATACTTGAGGTACAGTCTCTCTTTTTTTTTTTTTTTGAGACGGAGTTTCGCTCTTGTTACCCAGGCTGGAGTGCAATGGCGCGATCTCGGCTCACCGCAATCTCCGCCTCCTGGGTTCAGGCAATTCTCCTGCCTCAGCCTCCTGAGTAGCTGGGATTACAGGTACGCGCCACCATGCCCAGCTAATTTTTTGTATTTTTAGTAGAGACGGGGTTTCACCATGTTGACCAGGATGGTCTCGATCTCTTGACCTTGTGAACCACCCGCCTCGGCCTCCCAAAGTGCTGGGATTACAGGCTTGAGCCACCGCGCCCGGCCCAGTCTCTCTTAATAGTACCGTAAGACCTAACTACCATAAATGACATGGTTTCTATGAGGAAAAAATACACTGAAAAATGCAGCCCAGACACTAGGAACACAGCAGGTTCTAATGCTCCTTTGCTTGCTTCAAATATAGTCAAGTTAGGTATGTCAAACACTGTCCATATTTCCCACACTTTATATCATTTTGTTCTTTCCTGACACTTTTCAGGTATGTTAGTAAAGAAGTCAAAATACCTGGCTCCAGGTGTGACCCTTGTGAGCCATGTGATTTTGGTCATAGTGGATAGCCTTTTTGTCTCAGTTTCCTTCTGTGGAAAGTGTGGATAATGATATTTTACCTTACAGTGTTGTGGGAATTTAATGGATTTATCTATGTGAAAGTACTTTGCAGTCTGTGATGCACTACACAGATACTGATATTTATCTGTATTAATTTCACATGCATAATTTCATCTAATCTTGTTGCAATATATTTCTACCTCCCCTTTGAATCTGTCTTCATTAAGTTGTACTTTCATATGGCAAAAACTCTAGATTTTGGATTTTAAATGGGTTACAAAGCCTTTTGAGTATGTTTTCATTAAAATTATATGTTCATACAAATTGTCTTAAATAAATTTCCAAATAAGATTTCATAATTTTGCAATAAGCCATCTTGATTTAGCTTTCTGAGGAATTTAGAGATGAGGATGTTATGCCACAATTCAAGATTATTGATGCAGGCCCACAAAGAAAATTTTAAGAACTCCACCCTGAAAGCTAAACAACCCTGACCAATCTTTCTTTCTTCCAGCCACCTCTAACCCCATTCTTCCAAATTCCTACACTAAAAACTTCTTTTGCTGTCTATGAATGGGATGACTTTGCCTCTTGCCCCTGTTTTTCTGTTGTCCTTTCATGACCTCGTTGGACATCTCTTGTGCTCTAAAGACCATTCAAGAATGGAAAAAGGATTCCTTTTAGAAGATTAACTGTCAGAGTTAGGTAATTTTTCAATAGGAAAGACTAGTTAGTTTGACTTAGTCAATGTTTATTGAAGCATAACTTTTTGTTATACCTTTTATAAACAATATTGTCTTTAAATTATATTCAGTTTACATATTTCACTTACTTGAAATCAAAACATTCACTGTAAATTAGTTTCTGTTCATTACCATTATTGGTAGTAGAAAAGCTGTTTAGTAAATTTATTTAAATTTATTGCCTTAGTGAAGTATAGTTCATTGGATATATATAATAAATAGCCTGATAATTTGCTTGAAAAATCAGTACCTTGTGAACAGTACCTTGTGAATCTCTTAACATATTTGATTATGACTGTGTGTGATCATTGTGTATGCTTTAAGACAATACTTACCTATAAGAGGGTCTTACCTTGCCTATCTTATTTGTTAAAGCCCATTATAAAGTTATAGTCAGCTCATTAACTGGATAATGCTGAGAATGTGGTCGGAGAGAAAAAGGTTATAGGTGACTCCAAATTATGTTTAAAATAAAATTACAGCATTGTTTAGATTATCCAGGGTCAATTAGTCATAGGGATCTAAATCTAGGGGCATCTGTAGTTATGTAGCCCTCTTACACACCAATCATTGCTGTCAGATGCTGCCTAATTATAAACTCAGGAGGGCGATAGGACAGTAACTACCCAGGATTCCCATTTCAATTTCTTCAACCCCATAGTCAATCCTTTATATACTGACATGTATTTTACCAGGAAGAAAGGATATTTTAGGAAGAAACTCCCACAACTTAGCCATTTTAAGAATTTTTACCAGTCTGAGAAAACTTTTTATACTTCTTGTTCCATTCAAATACAGTCCAGTTCTTAAATTAACATTTTCTCTTTCTTCCAGTTGCTAGAACCTGTCTGTCACCAGCTGTTTGAATTCTATCGCAGTGGAGAGGAGCAGTTGCTTCGATTTACACTGCAATTTCTCCCAGAACTGATTTGGTGCTATCTTGCAGTCTCGGCCAGCAGAAATGTGCATAGCAGTGGATGCATTGAAGCTCTTCTTCTAGGGGTTTATAATTTGGTTTGTATTTAGTGCAGTTAACAAAATCTTTTCTGACAAATCAAATATATAACCTGTGCAACTGCTTTTCATTTTGGTAAAGCTAATGTTTGTTTTTTCATACATCAAGTGACTCATAGCTCATTCTTCCAAATACAACTTTCTGGGGGTTGGGAGACATACAAGCATACATGTAATTATGTAACTATACTTATGGATTGATTGAAGGTTGAAAATCAGACCATTTCATTTCTTTTATAGAGATATCTGAAAATATCAGTGTTGCATTTTAAATTTTGTAAACTTACTAAAGTCCATTGCCTATAAATGTTCCGTTTTCTGACCCTCACAAAAAGTTTGGGAGAAAAGATCTACTCTAATATTCACCAGTCATAGTTGAATAAAATCTAGACTGTCTCCAGAGTGTACAACATTGTTTTAACATACAGTTTGCATTACTGTAGAGTTTGTATATTAATTAGTATGGTATTCTAGATACTTAAGTTTTGTACCTTTCAAAATGCAAAAGAAATGTAAGGTCATTTTCTTTACATATTTTATGTTTAAATGATCATAGCAAATATAACTTGTTACATGAGGAAATTCAAGGATTATTGACACTATATCTGTATCTCAGCCATCCTGAAAATTATGTTGCATATATTAAGTGGAAGGAGATACAGTTTAACTACTGGTGTTTATGAATAGTAATGGATTATCATGTTTTAAGATTTTAATTAACCTAAAATTCCTTTCTATTCAGGTCTTTAAAACATTTTTTTAGACTATTTAAATTTAGTTTGTAAATTTATAAGTAAAAATATGTATTTTAATCTATTTTCTTTCACTTCTATAGGAAATAGTTGACAAACAGGGACATAGCAAAGTATTGAGTTTTACAATTCCATCTTTATCCAAACCATCTGTATATCATGAAGTAAGTGACATTTTGTCATAGTAAGTTTGTTGACCCTAAATTTTGATATTGCCACAAGTTATAGTCTAGTTATTTAGGAAAAAAATTGATCAGTTTATTAGTACCTTCAAAAATATAAACACCCACAAAGTATTTACAGTTTCCAAATTGAGATTAGAAACAAATAATTGAACATCAGACTGAAACCTGATAATAAGAGATCTACTGAAAGTATTCTTTTTGAAATATTTTTCACTACTCCTGATGGATAGCTACTTTGTGTGTGTGTATGTGTGTGTGTGTGTGTGTGTGTGGCAACTGTGTATTTCTTGGCAGAATTTTTGAAAATAAACTAATTTTTATTTCTCATTTTTGGTTTGTTTTTAAATTATTTATTAAATCTTTGAGCAGAAAATTTTGTAGGCAGCCTAAATATGTTTAAGATACATGATGTTCTTCATGGTAGCTATTTTAGTGGTGTAAATATTCTAAATATCACCTTTTCAACAGAATAGCTTTTTTTTTTCTTTATTCAAATGTCTTTTCTCTAGCCTTCCAGCATTGGGTCCATGGCTCTGACCGAGAGTGCTCTATCCCAGCACGGTTTGTCAAAAGTTGTGTACAGTGGACCTCATCCTCAAAGGGAGATGCTGACAGCACAGAATAGGTATGCTGTGGGGATAAACCTTCTTATTTACTACACTAATTTTTTAAAAAAATTATTTCAGTATATTATAAATAATGTTTAATGAGTTGTGTGTGACAGTTTATTTGAGTACTGAGTCATTTTATACAAGAAAAAAACAGATCTAGATTTGTCACTGTACTTTGCTTCAGATGTCAGCTGGAACATTGAATTTTAAAGACAAGTTTCATATGGCTGTTACTTGGAAAGTCCTTTTAGTTTTTCATTATTGGTGTGCTTATAATGTGCACATCTATTCTGTAACGTTATATCTCTCCCCAAGGAATGCTGTCTCCTCTTTTATAGTTGACTCCTTAGAATTCTAGGGATTTGTTAATATTCTTTTTGTTTGTCTTTAGGTTTGAAGTGTTGACATTCCTTTTGTTGTGTTACAATGCTGCCTTAACCTATATGCCCAGTGTTTCTCTTCAGTCACTGTGTCAAATTTGTTCAAGGTAAAGTAAAATTCAAGTGTTTCTAATATTGAAATTTATGAATCTAGGATTGCTAGCCTGGCACATACCTAAGTTATCTTTGTTTTGTATAATCATTTGTTTAAAACAATAAGTTAATGTAAACCTCAGCCTACTCAACACACGGAAAGTTCCCTGTAATAGATAGTCACAAAAAACATGATAAAGGGCCAGATGCAATGGCTCATGTCTGTAATTCCAGCCCTTTGAGAAGCTGAAGTGGGAGTATCATATGAGCCCAGGTGCTAAAGGCCATCCTGGGCAACATAGCAAGACCCCCATCTCTATAAAAAGTTTAAAAAAAATCAGCTGGGCATGGTGGTGCACACCTGTAGTCCCAGCTACTTGGGAGGCTCAGGTGGGAGGATTGCTTGAGCCCAGGAGGTTGAGGCTACAGTCAGCTGTGATTGCAGCACTGCACTCCAGTCTGGGCAACATAGCAAGACTCTATCTTAAAAACAAAGAAGAAAAACATAAACGTGATAAAGAATGTAAAACTGAATAACATTTAAATGGAATATTTAACCAGAAAAGGATTATACTGTATAGCTAAAGGATAGAGCTGTTATGACCTTTCAATTTTTAGCATGTGGTTGGCTTTTTGTTTGCATGTATTTATTTATTTATTTATACTCTGCTCTAATTTGGAGCTAAGAAATAAGTAAGAGATACTGATTCTTAAACTTTTCATCTTAAAAATAAATTGAGCCAAGGGGTTATAAAACAAATTATATCCCTGAGTGTAGTCTATTCACATCTTAAAAATCCGATTTAAAAGAGTAGTTAATGATAGTGTATATGGTATGATTTCCTGATTGGTTGAATATGACCAGAATATTAACAATGATTATCTCTAGTTGGTGGAATTATGGTTTATTTTAATTTTTCACCTCTTTGATTATTTTGTGATTTTCTAAATTTTTTCTAAATTTTTGGTAATGTGATTGTTACTTTTTTTTTAAGTAAAAAAAAAAAAAATGGAATGCTTCATGAATTTGCATGTCATCCTTGCCAGGGGCCATGCTAATCTTCTCTGTATCATTCCAATTTTAGTGTATGTGCTGCGGAAGTGAGCACAGATTGTTACTCTTTAAAAAAAAAAATCGGAGAGAAAACAAACAAACATGACAGAGATTATTGCCCTCAATAATTCAAGTAAATAAGAGATATTACACAATAAGGAGCTTGTAGAATAATTTTTATTTGAGGAATTTATTTAGAAAATGCAACTTATCCTGAGTGTATTAGCTCATTTTCATACTGCTATGAAGAAATACCTGAGACTGGGTAATTTATAAAGAAAAAGATGTTAATGGATTCACAGTTCCATATGGCTAGGGAGCCTCACAATCGTGTTGGAAAGTAAAGGAGAAGCATGTCTTACATGGCAGCAGGCAAGAGAGCATATGCAGGGGAATCCCCTTCATAAAGCTGTCAGCTCTCATGAGACTTATTTACTCTCAGGAGAACAACATGGGAAAACCTGACCCCATGATTCAATTACCTCTCACTGGGTCCCTCCCACAACGTGGGGCTTATGGGAGCTACAATTCAAGAATAGATCTGAGTGGGGACACAGCCAAACCATATCACAGGGGGAGGGGTCATTGAACAATACTTAGAAATCAAATGAAAACAAAACAAATAAAAAATCAGAACTTGATGCTGAGTAGGATAGAAAGCCATGCAGAACCCGCAGAGGAAGAGCATTAACAAGACAAAGGGCTTGATAGAGAAGATAAATAAGTGAAGTCTTTCAGATGATTTCCAAATTAGAGCATAATTACATTTCCTAATCTTAAAAGATGATACCAGTGGGCCATCTCTCCCACTTACTAAGTCTTTCTAAGACGTGTTTTGCTTTAAATTGTTTAAAGACAGAAATGTCCAGACTTTTGAATTTCACAGATCTGTAAAATCTCAAAAAAGGTGGAACAGCTGGGTTATTTACATAAGTGTTGCCAGCTTTTTTTTTTTTTGCCAATTCATTGTATTATAAATATCTACCATCAACATTATTTAACAAAAGGGAGACTATTTTAATATCCAAAAGGTGAGAGGGTGGAAGGGAAGGAAAATAATTTATAAATTAAAAATGGGGGCCGGGCGCGGTGGCTCAAGCCTGTAATCCCAGCACTTTGGGAGGCCGAGGCGGGTGGATCACGAGGTCAAGAGATCGAGACCATCCTGGTCAACATGGTGAAATCCCGTCTCTACTAAAAAATACAAAAAATTAGCTGGGCATGGTGGCGCGTGCCTGTAATCCCAGCTACTCAGGAGGCTGAGGCAGGAGAATTGCCTGAACCTAGGAGACAGAGGTTGCGGTGAGCCGAGATCGCGCCATTGCACTCCAGCCTGGGTAACAAGAGTGAAACTCCGTCTCACAGAAACGGGGCTGGCCTGCTGCATGGACAGATGAGGAGCTGGAGGGAGACTCTGAGAGGTTCATGATCATTCATCCTGCCACCTGTCAGGGCAGTAGCAGGCTCGCAGACTCCTTAGCCAGCACTTGTGTGTGTGAAATGCAAGTGTTAGGAAAGCTTCAGGGTGACCCTGAATAGACCTCCACTTTGCAGATGAGGAAATTGGACCTCAAGAGGGGCCATCTTGCACCCTGTCATCAGTCTGTAGGTGGCAGAGCCACAGTCCAAACCCAGGGCTTCCAGACTCCAAAATGCAGCTTCTTCCACCACTCACTCCCACCTAGCTCCTAGTGTTACCCTAGGAGGACCCCAGAGAACCTTCATCTGTAGGGCACTCCTGCCCACTGTGACATGCCCGTCTGCCCAGGTGCAGCCACCCAAGAAGCCACTGGTCCCAGAAATGGGGCCAGCCTCCAAGCTGGGCCATGTGCCACACCCACCATCCACATGTGGCAGCTCAGTGCTCCAGGGCCAACGCCGAAACAAGAGGCACCCTCAGCCCTTTGGCCACTTTCTGGATTTCCTGACTGAGAGCCAGGTCCTGGACAGCTTGGAGACAGTGGTGGAGGAGGCGACCGAGCGCATGGCTGCCATGAAGACGGAGGCTGGGGTGCCACTGGTGGAGGTGCAGGACCCAGTGGAGGTGCCAAGTGGTAGGCGGCGGGCCCGTGCCCGGCCCAGCCTCAGCACCGTGCACCGGCACCGTGCACAGCCAAGCCTCTGCACTGGACACCCCAACAACTACCCATCCAGCTCCAGCTCCACGTCTGACTCTCATGGCAGCCTCATGGCTGGCTGGCTGGGCCCCCATGTCAGGGACAGTGACCTGGGGGCCCAAGGCTTAGGCTCATTGCCACCTGTGAGGGACAAACTCCTGCTGGAGAAGAACCTCAAGCGGCTGCTACAGCTGGAGAGGAAAGGGGTAAGAGCGGGGCCGTGGCTGGGTGGGGTGGACTCCCATGGAGAGCCCAGGACCAGGGTCAGAGTCACTTCTCAGAATCACCCTCTTTCTGCAGAAAGGCTTCAATCAGTCCTGCACTCAGAGAAACTCCCTGCTGTGGGATTCGCTGGGCAGCCAGACCAGCTGCCAGTGGACCCAGGAGCAGTCCCCATCCTGGTTCTCAGGGCTGCTGGGCTCAAGCTCTGGCATGCCTGAAGCATCAGAGCTGAGGCCTGGAGAACGGGAATGGATCTTCCACAAGCAGGAGTTCAACAAGGAGCTGAAGTCGTTACTGAGCCAGCTGGAGTCCCTCGACCTGCCTGGCTACTGTCCGCTCCGTGAGCCCCACCGCATGCTGAACTTCCTGGCCGAGCACCACCTGTTCCCCGCCCTGCAGAGCGTGGTCAGTCAGGCTGTGGACAAGCTCCGTGGTGCCTGCTGCTGTGACGGCCGCCCTCTGTTCCCCACCAGCTTGGAGCCCACCTCAGAGCTGCAGGGACAGAGCAATCTGCAGCCTCCGGGCTCTGAGCCGACCAATCCCACCAACACGGGGCAGCCCCATGCTTCCCCCCATCCCACAGCCTCCAGCCCTAAGATGCCTCACAGAAAACACAAGGACAGAGGAGGCTACCCCTCCATGTCTAGTGCCCAGGTGGCCACCAGATTCAAGCTCAAGGTGACACCCACGGAGAAGCCCAATGTCCCCAGTTCCTCACTCTACTCCAGGAAAGAGGTGCCTGACTCAGATCCCAAATTACAAAACCCACCTGTTTCCCTGAGCTCCAGCCAGAGGGCCAAGCCCTGGCGGGGCCTGCACCTCACTCTGCCTGCCCCCGGAATTGTGGTGGAGGTGGATTGCAGCCAGGGCCACCTCAGGGGCCCTGTCACACCTCCGTCTGCCTTCCCCTGTCCCCACTCTTCCTGCTACTTTCTCCCCAAGCTCTTCTCAGTTGCCTTATCTCCCGCCTCAGTGTCTGGAGGTGACCTCCTCGAAAGTAGGACCAGGCATGAGTTTGCAGGAGAAGGACTCCCTGGCCCACCTCTCCTAGCAGCCACTGGCACTGGCAGGTGCTCAAGACCAAGGTCTCTTGCCCTGCACTGTGGAAATCTCCTGGACAGGGACTAAACTGATGGGAGCCCAGGAATGCTGGCCTAGCTATTACCAGGTGTTATCACAGATGAATAAAGGCTATTTTTTATGCTGGGCATTTTTCGAACGTTTGTTTATGAATCTCAGAGACCCTCCCACGTGGGGGTGAAGGGCCCTGTCTCTTGTGGACAGCTGCCCTAGCCGGGCCGGGGCCTTGCCTCCGAGGTCTTGCTCCCTGGAATCCAGCTGCCTTGAGCAGTACTCTCCAGTCGCTGTAGTTTGCCAAGGGGAAGTGTACACAGGGGATGAGTACAAGACGTCGGTGGCCTCACCCTGGTGGGTCTCTAGCAGTCCCTCAACTCAAGGCCCCTGCAGGCTTCTCTCTGAGCACAGGTCTGGGCAGGAGCCTGCTGGAACCTGGCTGTCAAGGCTCAGATTAGGCTCACCCTGTGACAGGTCCCTGCCCTTGCCCCAGGCCCAACAGGTGTAGGAGGTGTGATGGTGAGGTGAGCAGAGTGGGCAGCTGAGT